GAGGGAGGGGGACTTGATCGGGGGAGGGGAGGGAAATGGGAGGCGGTGGCGGGGAAGAGACAGAAATCTTTAATTAATAAATAAATAAAATAAAAAAAATAAAAATCTAACCCTATTTGCCACCCAATATTCACAAGCCTAATGATGAAACAGTGCTTCCTGTTTCCTTTTAAACTAGAGCTCAGCCACCTACAACCCCAGCATCCAGGGAGGTAGAGGCAGGAATGTCAGCAGTTGAAGGTCTTCCCTAGTAACAAAGCTAGTCTGTGGGTAACCTGGGCTACATGAAATTCAGTCTCAAAAAAAAAAAAAAAAAAAAAAAAAAGAAAGGGGCCGGAGAGATGGCTGCTCTTCCAGAATTCCTGAGTTCAATTCCTAGCAACCACATGGTGGCTCACAACCATCTATTATGAGATCTGATGCCCTCTCCTTGACTGTAGGCATACAAGCAGACAGAATACTGTATACATAATAAATCTTTAAAAAAATAATAAATGAAAAAGGCAAACCTCTCAAAGAAAAACCAAAACAAGCTTCCTAGCTTCCTTGTCCTCTGCCGTCTGGGCCCACTTCCACTCTACCCACTCTAACTCCCACCACAGAAGTCTTCTGCTTGCGTCCTCAGCAGACCATACTCAAGGGGTGTTCACCACTATTTCCCTCATTCCACATTCAAAGTACAACATTACATCTACAAGGCTGTTTCGAGACCGGCTCTTAACAGCCCAGATGCCCACACTTCAACACTTCATGATCAGCCCTCAGCACAAACACAGCTATTAAATGTCTGGGCTGTCAATGGAGCTCAGTGGACCCCAACACCTCATAAGACTGCATGTGGTGGGCTGGGCAGTGGTGGCGCACGCCTTTAATCCCAGCACTCGGGAGGCAGAGGCAGGTGAATCCCTGTGAGTTTGAGGCCTGGTCTACAAAAACTAGTTCCAGGACAGCTAAGACTGTTACACAGGGAGACCCTGTCTCGAAAAACCAGGAAAAAAAAAAAAAGACTGCATGTGGTAACAGAGCCTGTGATCCCAGCACAGTTGAGGCAAAAGGATCTGAAGTTCAGGGTTATCCTTAGCTATACAGTCAAGTTCTAGTGTCACCCTGAGCTTTGTGAGACACTCCATCAAAAAAAAAAAAAAAAATAACCATGTGTGCGTATGTACACACATTATCGTAGTAATACACATTACACATTATGATAAAAATCACTTACAAGGGTAGGTCTCCCATGACCATGATATTCCATTATACTCTATCCCACACAGAAATTTTTGAAGTGTTTTCTTTTTCCCCCCTGCCCCTGTACTGGGGGCTGAACCTATGGCCTATACACACTAGTCAGACACTATCACTGAGCAACATCCCCATCTAGAAACAGCTTTTAAGTAATTGTGTTTTCACTACAGAAGAAAGGATCTTGTACCAAGTGAAATTTCTACAGAAAGTCAAAACAGAGGCTGAAAAGATAGCTCAGGAGGTAAAGTGTTCATGCAAAATGAGGACTAGGTTTGATCCCCTGATCAAGTAAAAAGGACAGCTACAGTAGCATACATTTGTAATCCCAATGCTGAAGAGGCAGAGACAGGACAGACCCTGAGGGTCTCAGTCAGCCTCAACTACCTAGCAAGAGACCCAGAGTCAAAAAGCAAGGCAGATGGTGCCTGAGGAATGACAGCCAAGGTTGACTTCTGGTTCCACATATATACACACTCACATTGTACACCCACACACAAAATGACACCTTGTCACTTCTAAGACTCACACAGTTAATACTTTCCAACAAAAGACTCGGGATAAATATTACCCTTGACTGAACACTTGATGTTTTAATGACCTGCCCTAAGATTTGACCAGACACATGGAAAACAGCCCAACTCATAAAAGAAGTGACTGTCACTGGAGAGCCTGCTGGAATCATGCCAAACCTGACTGTATAAGACTGGAGGTACAACAGATTTGAACAATGGATCATGTGTGTGCATATGTGTGTTCACAGGTTGGTGCCGTGCCTGAGGTTTTCTCCTAACACCATGAGGGTCCCCAGGATGAACCTCGCTTGGTGCCTCTACCTGCTGAGCCATCTCACGGCCCCAGCACCAGAATGGCAGTAGTGGAAAGCACTGTGCTGCCCACCCACAGAGTGCCCACTGATGAGAACTACCCAGCAAGAGGTCATTTCAAGAAGGCAGGAGGATGCGGTGGTACTAGCCTTTAATCTGAACACTCATGCGACTGAGACAGGAGGGTCTCAAGTTTGAGGCCAGCATGAGCAATTTAGGGAGCTCTAGTCTGGACTACAGAAGCCTGTGTTTAACCCCAGCCCTACAACTCACTTCTTACAACCCTGAGCCTGCTAATCTGTCCAGCCTTCAGTTCCCTGCAGTGACCAGCTCTCAGTTAATGCAGTTACTGAACATCATGCCATGCCTGAGCTCCATGATGAACTTGGTCACGGGTTAGCTAGCTAGTACAGCCTGGATTTGAGGATTAGCAGTTGTTTAGGAGCATTAATGTGTCTGACAACAAAGTTCAGGAGCTCTACAGTCTGAAAGCTGCAGCAAGGCCCAGTCCTGCCACTTTATAGTAGCCCCCAGAAGCCCTCCTCTACTCTCCCCACTAGCTGAAACAAAAGCTACATAATTCAGACTTTAGGTCTCAGAATATGACCTGACACTTCTGGTTAATAAATACATCCTGATGTTTGGCAATGTGAAATGGTGGTTTCTTATTGAACAATTCAAAACACTATTCCTTGTAACTGAATGTAAGACCAACAGTATTCTCCTTGGTCTTCAAGAACAAATTTATGGGGGGCTAGAGAGATGGCTCAGCAGTTAAGTGCACTGGCTGCTCTTCCAGAGGTCCTGAGTTCAATTCCCAGCAACCACATGGTGGCTCACAACCATTTGTAATGAGATCTGGCCCTCCTCTGGCATGTGGGCATACACGGAGGCAGAATGTTGTATACATAATAAATAAATCTTAAAAAAAAAAACAAACAGTGGATTGACATGTTTAAAAAAAAAAGAAATAGTAAGTGCAGTCTGACAACTTAAAAAAAAGAACAAATTTATGAATCTAATTAATCTTAAGTTGAGTCTTTTGTAAAAGTTCAGAAAAATGAAAAGTTTTACAGGTGGTGTCTGTGTAAGGATGTGATTCACAAACCATGAACCCTAAATTTAGGTTTTACTTTCTATTGCACAAGAGTAGAAGGGCAGCCGGGCGGTGGTGGCGCACACCTTTAATCCCAGCACTCTGGAGACAGAGGCAGGCGGATCTCTGTGAGTTCGAGGCCAGCCTGGTCTACAAGAGCTAGTGCCAGGACATGCTCCAAAGCTACAGAGAAGCCCTGTCTCGAAAAACTTAAAAAAAAAAAAAAAAAAAAAAAAAAAAAAAGTAGAAGGGCAGCTACAAGCCAGAGGTTAGCCTGGTCTACATAGCGACTTCTTCTCTGCCTTATGCAAAGGCAGGAGGATGTGTAGCAACAGGGAAATCTGAGTAGGCAAATCAAAGTGATGCAATTTCTAGTACAGTGGTTAAGACAGTATGCCTGAGCTGGGCCATGGCGGTCCATGCCTTTAATCCTAGCACTCAGAAGGCAAAAGAAGGCGCATCTCTGCGAGTTTGAAGCCAACTTAGTCTACAGAGTGAGTTCCAGAACAGCCAGGGCTACACAGTGAAACCCAGTCTGGAAAACAAACAAACAAACAAACAAGCCAGTGTGCTTGGAGTTCAAACCCAAGTTCAAGAAGCATTAGCTTTAGATAAATTACATAAGGAATAAAACTTGTTTCTCCAGCTGTTTTGGGGGGGGGAGTCTGAAGAAATGCAAATGCGTAAGGTTAACACCCCAGGTAAAAGCTCAAGGGCACTGACTGACTAAAGATCCTTCTTATAACAGACTGACTGTTCTGAACTTTATTATCATCATTATCCACCACACAGGGCCAGTAGTGCTAGGAACAGGTAATGAAGGTAAGCCATCACACAGCACAGCACCTAAAAGCCAGTGAGATGGCTCAGCAGCTGAGGGCACCTGCTGCTATTCCTGACGGCTGGCCGGAATTTAATTCCCAGAATCCACATGATAGGAGAGGACCAACTCCCTCTTGCAAGGTGTCCTCTGAACTCCAGAGGTGCACGGTACCATTCGTGTGACCACACCCAACCACACACACCCAAAAATATTTCAACAAGTATAATTTTTAAAATGTACCAAATATATATGCATATATAAAATTATGACCACTAAACATAAGGCCACATGCTTGTAATCCCAACAGATGGATGGCAGTGGTATAGCTGAAAGTTTGAGTCCAGCCAGGAAACTTAATGAAACCTCCTTGTCTTAAAAAAGAGCAGTCAAGCCCGTTGGCGGCACACGCCTTTAATCCCAACATTCAGGGGGGAAAAAGCAGGTGAGGTGATCTCTGAGTTCCAGGCCAGCCAAGGGCTACACAGTGTGATCCTCTCACGGGGAAAAAATAAGAGGGAAAAAAACACCAACAACAATAGCGGCCAGGAAAACAGCTAGGTTTTTAAGAGCACTGACTACCTGGCTACTCTTCCATAAAATCCCAGTTCAGGTCCCAGCACCCACAATTCCAGTTCTATGGGATCCTAATGCCTTCTTTGGCCACCAGGAACGCACGTGGTGCATAGACATCATGAAAACAAAATACCCATAGGCGTACAACAGTGGGAAAAAAGGGAAAAAAAGTAAACAAAGAACAAAGAAAAAGCCAGGACCATTTGTACCAACTTGCGAGAAACACAAACACCCCCTCTGCCAAGAAAAAAAAAAAAAGCTAAAAACTAAATTTAAAAAAGCCAAAACGCAGAGTCACACTGAAAATGTGAGGTCTACTTTAGCGAGAAACCACTGCCCTTGAATCTTCCTCAATCAGTACCTGAGATAAGACCGTACAACCGTCGATGAGGAAAAGGCAACGCAAAAAGGAAGCACTTCCAATAACAGACCAGCTCAATTATGGCAAAGTGTTCCTCTCCGACTCAATTCTGGGATTCTTTTATTCTACCAGGGAAGGAAGATGACATCAAGATTCATCTGAAAGCCTGTGGGTTTGGGACAGTGCCGTGGAGAAGGATCTACGAAGCATGCGGAAGGCAAGCTGCAGAGAAAAACCAGACACGGTGCAGAAAGGAAAATCCTTCCAGCAGTCCGGCCCGCACCTCCGACACCAGTTACAGCCATCTCTTCCCCGCTATTCCGGGGACCCCCTCCCCCCGCCTCCCACGTGTGCCCAGAGCAGCTGTTCCTGCACTGAGTAGCATCAGAATGGGGCTCGATCTGGGTGACCTTGCATCAGTCCCTTCCTTTCTCTGGGCCTCAGTTTCTCCACGGGCAGCAGACCTCATCAGTCTGACAAATCCCGGGCACTCATCCTCGTTAACAAAATCACTACCACTGGGGCATCCTCCCCTCAGGAAGGCGCTCCCACCTCATACCGGAGCCGGTTGTCACCTGCAAGAAAGACCACGGCATCCCGGGGAGCGGCTGGAATAAAGCGACCTAGTGGTCTCGCCGGAAGGGCGCAACCCGCGCGTCCTGACAGCTGCCTGCACCTCAGGGACGAGCTTCGCTGGACGGCGCCTACGCGAGGCCGAGGCTGCGGCCTAGCGTCCCGCGCGGCCCGCCCCCTCCCCTCCCCACGCCGCGCGCGCCCCCGGCTGCCCTCTTGGGCCTTTGCTCCCGGCAGGGCAGGCCTCGGCTTGCCGCACTGGCCAGCAGGCCGGCTCCAGGAACTCACCGTAAATGGGCCGGAGGCGCCGGTCGTTAGGATCCTGCACATGGCCCCGCGTCGCCATGATGACAAGCGCAGAACCGCAGTGCGCACGCGCTGGGCAAGCCCCCCGGGAAGGGACCGTTAAAGGGCCAGCGTCGATCTCGTTGGTGTATCGCGATAGTGAAGGGTCGCTGCAACGGAGTGCGCCTGCGCGGAAAAGGAAGTTCGCCTCTCCTTTAATTGGAGCTGTGGTTAGATTTTTGCCGGTATAATAATCTGGACCCCAGGGGCGGTTGTTGCTGTTGGTGGCGTTTGCCCTTGAGAGGGAGAGGCGTGGAAAGCGAAAAAGCGATTTAATCCCATTGACTTTACATCCAGAAGAACCAATTGGTCTTGGCTTTGGTCATGGAGTCGCCGGAAACTCCTGGGTGAGCCTTAGGAAAGAGCTTGCCCTACAGAGAAACTACAAAAAGTTTACGAGCCCCTTCCCTGGACTCAATTCCGTGTGTGTCCAGACACTAGTGAAGCTGTTTTGATTAGTTTAATTTTCATATTGCGCTAGACGTTATCATGATCTTTGCTCTTTACAGGTTTGTTACACCACACAAGGTTATGAATGCTAATTATTTCCAAAATAATTTTAGGTGCCAAGATCTACAAGGAGCTTAAGGTGCACACCTTTAATCCCAGTACTTGGGAGGGCGAGGCAGGCTGATCTCAGAAAATTTAAGGCTAGCCTAGTCTACAGAGTGAGTTCCAAGACAGCCAAGGCTATATAGAGATCCTGTCTCAAATAAATAAATAAACAGAGAGAGAGAGAGAAAGAGAGAGAAATAAGTAAATACATTTTCCTACCAGGTGGTTGCCTGCCGTCTTGTCTGTGGACATTCCAAATAAATCTTCCTCTTTGCACCAACAATTTTCCCTCAATTCATGGAGCCTCTTCTCCAGCAGCATGTTGTGACTTGGCTGTCCTAACACTTGCACAGTAAGGTGAATCTAGTCGCTTTTTTCAGACACTGAGTAGTGGTATGTAGGATGTATATAATCTTGGCCCTGGAAGAACTAAGGAAAGAGGATAGAGTCAAAGTGAGTCTGGACTAGCTACATAGTAAGACCGTGTCTCAAGAGAGGGAGAGAGAAGAAATGACTCATGTTGAAGTTGCCTTGGTGTATACTTGTGTCAAGACAATACATAGTACCCTATACATAAGTATAACTGTTTTAATGAGTTGATTTTAAGTTTTGAAGGCTTAACATCGGTTATTTCATGCTTGTGTCCGTGTATATGTGTTTGGGCACTCTGGTACTATTGCAAATGTGGGGGGCAGGGTGAGAGAACAATTTAAGAGTCAGTTCTTGCTGGGTGATGGTGGTGGTGGCGCAGGCCTTTAATCCCAGCACTTGGGAGGCAGAGGCAGGCAGATCTCTGTGAGTTCGACACCAGCCTGGTCTACAAGAGCTAGTTCCAGGACAGGCTCCAAAACCACAGAGAAACCCTGTCCCGAAAAACCAAAAAAAAAAAAAAAAAAAAAAAAGGCTAGAAGAGTGTTTTGGATCCCCTGGAACTAGAGTTACAGCAGGTTTTTGAGCCACAGTGTGGGTCCTGGGAACCAAACTCTGGTCCTCCAAAAGAGTAAAAACAGTGCTCTTGCCTACTGGGCTATCTCTGCAGCTTCTAATTTTGGATTTTTGAGACAGGGTCTCATGTAGCCTAGGCTAGCTTAAAGTCCTGACCTCCTGCCTCGACTTCAATTCTTTTTTTTTTCTTTTGGTTTTTTGAGACAGGGTTTCTCTGTGTTGCTTTGGAGCCAGTCCTGGAACTAGCTCTTGTAGTCCAGGCTGGCCTCGAACTCACAGAAATTCACCTACCTCTGCCTCCCAAGGGCTGGGATTAAAGGCATGCACCACCAGTGCCCAGCAACTTCCTCAATTCTTGTACTACAATTGTATGCCAAAGCACTAGCTTGGGGTTCTGTTATTGTTGTTTGGTTTGATGGTTCGGGAAATTGGCCCTGGATCGTCATGCATGCTGGGTGAACACTCTACCACTAAACCACATCCACTCTTTATTTTTTGTTTTTAGACAGAGGGCTCCATTGAGTTGTCCAGGCTGCCCAGCCTGGTCTATGTAGCAAGTTCCTGGACAGTCAGAACTATATAGAAAGACCTGTCTCAAAATATTTTTTTTAGTTTAAATTATATGTACATGTGGTATCTCTGTATGGGTTTGTACAGACGATCACTGGAGCCCAAGGAGGCCAGAGGTATTGCATTTTCTCTGGAGCTGCAGTGGTGGTTGTCAGCTACCCAACATGGATGTTGGGAAACATAAATCCAGTGCTCTTACCTGATGAACCATCTCTCTAGCATTGAGAATTTCTCACATCTTGTTTATTTATTTTTCATTTTAAAACTTTTATTATTTAACTAGGCAGTGGTGGTGCACGCCTTTAATTCCAGCACGGGGGTGGAGGGGCAGAGGCAGGCAGATCTCTGTGAGTTAGAGGCCAGCCTGGTCTACAAGAGATAGTTCCAGGACAGGCTCCAAAGCAACACAGAGAAACTCTGTCTCAAAAAACCAAAATCTTTTATATTGACGTGTGTGTGCAAGAGTGTATGCACAGGAGTATGCCCAAGCACACAAGACACCAAGAAGAGGCGTCAGGTCTGTTGTCTTGTGGCACACATCTGATAACAGACATACATACGAGCAAGCATTTATACACATAAAGTAAAGATAACAACAAATAAATGGATAATGACAGCTGCAGTTGACTTCTAACTTCCACACACAGGAGCAGATGTGTGTGTGTGCGCACACACAAACAATTAAATTTTACTGAGCCCTGCTCTAGATTGTTGAAGGGTATTTAAACAAATAACCCAAAGACAAAGTTCCCTGAGCCAAGCACCATGACACTTGGCTGTAATCCCATCCTTTGAAGATGGACAGTTCAGCCGGGAGGTGGTGGCGCACGCCTTTAATCCCAGCACTCGGGAGGCAGAGGCAGGCGGATCTCTGTGAGTTCGAGACCAGCCTGGTCTACAAGAACTAGTTCCAGGACAGGCTCCAAAACCACAAAGAAACCCTGTCTCGAGAAAAAAAAAAAAAAAAAAGAAGAAGAAGATGGACAGTTCAAGGGGAGCCTGGGCTTCATGAGACCTTGTCTAAAACAAACAAAAACAAAACTCTACTATCCCTAGCAGATGGTGGTCCACCCTTTTAATCCTAACTAACTCAGGTGGCAGGGGCAGGTGGATGGATCTTTGTGAGTTCTAGGCTAGCCAAGGCTTCATAGAGAGATCCTGACTCAAAATAATAATAATAATAATAAAATCACTACTAGGATAAGATTTTTCAGGCAAAATATAATTAGAGCATGTGTAGCCAATTCACTGTGTCTGAAATTCAGGTTCTACTGGGTGTCCTATACTACACTTACTAAACCGGAGCAGAACAACCTTGAGGGGAAATCCCATGATTCTGTGCTTCCAATATCCTGTTGGCAGAGCCAGGCTTGGAGGCACAAGTCTGTAACCCATTACAGGCAGAGGCAGGTAGATCTCTGAGTTTGAGGCCAGTCTGGTCTACAGAGTGAGTTCTAGGACAGCCAGAGCTGTTAATACAGAGAAACCTTGTCTCGAAAAAGTTTTTTAAAAAAAAATTGTAGAGTGTTAAAAAAAAAAACAAAGCACTTTTGGGTGTAGAGAGAGAAAGGGTGGAGCTGAGATGGCTCTTGGCCAGGTCTGGGCCACTCGGCTCTGTCCCTACGGTTACCTCAGTTGTTAACGCAGCATGGACATGGACTGGCCTAGCGGCTATCTCCCTGGGCTTGGCAAGGCTCGGGGTGCCAAGGACCTCCTAAGAGGTGCTTCCAGCCCTTACCGGCTCTATTTCCTTGTATGCTGAAAGTCTGCTTGAGATCTAAGCATGATGAATCATCCCCTCTGCCTTTCCCATTCCCATTCTTTGTCTTCAGAGGGAACCCAGGTGCCAACTGGGGGCCTGTCCTTACCTGCTCCGCAGAAGGCAGCTTCCACGCCCTTTCAGAGAAAGGCCTAAAGGGACTCTGTAGGAGGGTAAATACCCCGTTGTTCTGCTACTGAGAGCCTAGAACATCCACAGATGACACTACGAACATTAAGAGTTTGGTATACAGCAGGTGCTCATTAAATGGTGCCTTCACCTTCCTCCCTACCTGGACCAGAGGAGTTGCCGCATTGGGGCAGCACTGAGCACTGCTCTTGGGAGAGGCCTTCTTTGTAAGGACAGAGAAGTCGATGGGTGCACTGCTCTGTGCATCACAAGCTGGGGATACAGGAAGTGACATCCATGCAGGACTTGGAGGTGGTGGCTCTGGGTATCTTGTCCAATGGACTCTGATAGTTTTTCTCTTTGGTCTTGACCTCCTGGTACCTACCTCCTGCAAACCTTTTACCCCTCACAGAATAAATAGAAAAGTGTTGTATATGCCTGCACAGGCCAGAGGATGGTGGTGTCAGATCCCCTGAAGCTGGAATTACAGACCGTTGTGAGTCAAGATCTAGGTGCTGGGAATTTTGGTCCTCTGCAAGGGCAGCCAGTATGCACTGCTCAGCTAACTCTCAAGTCATTCCTCAAAAAAAAAAAAAAACCTTAAAGAAGAAGAGTTGAGATAAGATGGTTATGGTCTTGCTCTGCAAATATTCGAGGAGTGAATTTTCTTCACCAAAATGGAGAAGGTAGCTTTCTAGTTTAATCCGGAACCAAAGTTGTTTGTTGCGATTCTAACTGTATCCATCAGGTGGCACACGAGCACGAAATTGCCTCGGCCATTTTCAAGATTAGAAAGGAATTTTAGTTTTTCTTGTTTAAAAAAACAGCAAATGTAATGGGGGGGGCAGTCAGATGTATATCGCTTTTGTATTTGTGCTTGGGATGTAGATGTGTTAAGGAGCATGTCTGCGTGGGTACACGTGTGTGCGTGTTCCTGACTTTATCCAGGCACCATCTTTACTGTGTTTTGAGACAGGATCTTTTACTGGGACATGGTGCTGGCCAACAAGACCATGGGCTAACTGGGCAGAGATCCCCAAGGGTCTGCTTGTGGCTTCCTCCCCAGCATCGGGGATATCAAGCCCGTG